AACAAACAAACCTTCTTCCAAATGACGTGGACCTTTACATGATCTTTACGGTTATAAAACAGGGAAATTACTCATTTTAAATTATTTTGTAACAAATAATACAACCTATTAAATAGTAACTCCATTATAGATGTTAAGGCTACCTATAATATGTGATACGTAGAAAAAACAGTATTTCAAGTTCACCTAGATAGTATAAATACTAGCTATAGATCTAAATAGTAATATTTTAAACAATTTTTGTTTTAGGTATAATTTTGTCTTCACTGTTTGATCGTATCTGATTATTAATGACAATCAGATCTTTCACTTTTTAGTGGTAGTAGATCTCTTGCTTGCTGCCAGAAATATCGTATCTTGGTGTGCTTAAATCTGAATTGAATTTTAAACTTTATATTAAACAACCAAGTCCTGGTGGTTAGGGTGCTTTACATGCAATTTGAAGGTCGCGGGGTTCGAATCCCTGCCACACCGATCATGTTCGCCCTTTCAGACGTTGGAGCATTATAATATGATGGTTAATCCCTCTATTCGTTGGTAAAATAGCAGCCGAAAAGTTGGCGATGGATGGTGTTGACTAGCTGCCTTCCCTCTGTCTTTCACTACTAAATTAGGGACAGCTAGCGCAGATAGCCCTCGTGTAGCTTTGCGCGGAATTCCAAAGAAATCAAATCTATTGAACAAAAAACAAAGTACATCAATTCCACGTTTGATTGTGACCTGGAAAGTTCGACTTTAAGCAGCTGCGTTTTTCTCAGTTACTCCGGTTTGTACTAGAAAAGTGTTGTTAAGGGTCTAGGTGGGTGATCACTTGTTATTAAACTCAAAGAAAGGGTTTTATAGTTTTTGTTATATCAGTCTATGGGTGGAGGTTGGGTGTTCCACAAATAAAAAAATAGGGTTCTTTTTGATAAGAAAAATAACATAATTTTAGTTTAGTGATATCTAAACAATTAACTGTGGACAGTGAATAGTAGTTAGGTTTTGGAACGTTGTGGGTTAAACTTATAGCACCTAATGCCTAGCCCCCATTCGATTTTCCATACTTTTTCCATCTGCGTTTTTAGAAGGTGGGGCGGGGATTATGCAAGATAGGTGGATTACCCCCAACGCTTAAGTGAAGTATTGCTGAATTAAGAAATATTTAACCCCACAAAATGACCTTGACCAAAAAATATAAATTTCGTAAAAAGAAAGTTCGGAAAACGATCCATAAATAAAAATGTAACTTCGAATATTATCACAATAATTGCTTAACGCAATTCTCTAGTTCTAACTACTATAACTTAAATGAGTAATTCGCATATCTAGTTCAATTTTCACTCGAGTTTCAGATTTCAGTTCCTCTTTTATATTTTTATTTTGGACGAGAACAAGATTACATTTCAACACGTGATTAGGATGTTTGCATATTGCTACAAGTAATTTACATACGGCTATTTACAATCAAACATAACCCATCGCAATATCGCTTGAACGTTTCTGTTGTCTTTAAAAAAATACACTCTCGGACGATTGCAATTAGAAACGATTTGGGCTGCTTTCGATCACGTGGCTTAGTATTAATTCGGTGACTAACAAAAACAGTGCCACTGTAGTAGTTGAAACTGATAGAAGGAGTTAAAACTACTATAAGTCAATAGTATTTTTTAAATTAAAAGAAGTACACAAACAAAGCTGCCTACACTAAATAAATAACAATGCTAAATTGGTATGATCAAAAATAGCAGAGTGTTACCTAAAATATCTTGCTTAACATGCATGATTTATGAGAAGGGTATGACAAGAAGGATCAGAAATTATAAGAATGTCTTGCTTACGTCATACACATTACTGTCTTTTCCCTTATCTAGACCACTTCTTGTTGCGTTCTTCTAGCTTCTCCGTTTTGGCCAGCTCAGATGTGGTTTCCTCCTGCTCTGGTCCTTATTGGTTCAAAAGCTCCTGCTTTTATCCCTGTCCTAATCACTCCTCAGACAACCATGATCAGATGTTTTTCATCCCAACATCACCACACTTCAGCTTCACGTGTGACTTTTATTTGACCCCATGTCTCAGCTCAGGGACTCGCCCCTAATGTAGAATCTTTCTTTGCCTGTACCATTCGCCCTTCCTCCTTGTCTGTATACCATATTCGTTGGTCTTACTTCAGACTTTGGCCTATTTGCTTGGTTCTGCCCATCCCAACCTTCTTTTCTTCACTTGTCCCGGTTCTTCAGCTGGTTGTTTGATCAGGGTTTGTCTGTTGCAACTGTTGTGTTTTATAGGGCTACCCTGTCGAGCACTTTCCATTCTCCCATTTCCCCAGTTATTTCTCTCCTTTTCCAATAATTTCGTCTGGTCCATCTGCCACTTTCCTTCGTTCTGCCAGATTGAGATCTTTATATTGTCCTTGATATTATGTCCCTTTGAACTCATTCCAACGTGTTCCTTGTACCATTTTTCCCGATGACTACCGGTTACTAACTTTCTTAGTAGGCAATGCAAATCTTGCTATATTTCATTCCAACAATAAAACTAGTGGACGAATATTTTCGAAAATTCATAAATACTTTGACAAATGTAGGTAGTTTAAGAGACATAAAGCCTATTACTTTTAATAAATTTAGTTTGTTTGCATTATGATCTTTAATATCTTGGAAAATTACATTAGGAAATCGTATTTATAAGAAATGATTACAATATTTATATTTGCTACAGATTTGAACTTATTACTTTTAAGGTTTTAGTACATAATTTTGAAATCCCCAAAAAATTGTATCCTCCATAAAATGCAAATTTTATCTATTTTTTTTTTAATAATAACGTATACTTCTTATGGTTTCAAGTAATATACAGACCAGTAAATAATATTTGTAAATAAACCTAAACAATAAATGAGTATTTGTATTTTTAACTAGGATTTCATGTTTATATATGTACATAAAAACATTTTAATTTTGTTTCATAAATATATTTTTATTTCAAATTTATGTTTATGTTTCATTGTAGTCGTACTTTTGTGTTTATTGTGCCGAATAAGCCGTGGGGTCAGCAGCGTGAACTTTGTACGCTGTCCATAAACTATCTCACCCTTTTTGGTGGTCACTCTCGTTCAACCGAGCTCGTGCGCATTTGAACGTTACCTGAAACCACCTGTACTATAAACTGTTACATACATTGTTAGTAGTGGCAGTTAGTTTTGTCTCTATAGTGAAACAACATACACAGACATATGTTGAAATAAACTTGTTTGAAAGTTCAAAGAAATGATATTCAAGTACCGAAAAGCTTTCTTACTATCATATCTACAGTAAACACCGCCTGAGCCTGACCCCTTGTTACTTGATACATCCTGTTAGAAAAGATTACCAAACGACACAGACACCATAAATTACAAAGAAAATTACTTTACAGCACTTAAAAGATTAGTCCTGGTCACATTCCTCTCATTACAGGCAAGATTTATGTTGGAATGAATTAAGACACCCAACTGTGAGAGTTATTGTTGAGAGAGATTTTAAGAACATCCCCGGGTCGGAGATCCTCGCTGGTTTCTCCAGCCAAGGAGTTTCTGCAGTGCGACGTATCTCCACTCATAAAGAAGGAAATATTCGGCCTACCAATGTTCTCATTTTGACATTTACATTGCCACGTCCACCTGTCACTGTTAAGGCAGGTGTTTCTAGTGTCAGCAGTTTGGTGATTTGAAGGCATCTTGTTGTGGTTCTGTGACGTGTGTTCATTGTGGTGGCAAGGACCACGACACCTACAAGTGTGAACTGGACCCTCACTGTGTTAATTGTACTGGTTCCCACCCCTCTTAATATACATCTTGCCCTAAGTGTGTGGAGGAGAAAGAGGCACAGCGTTTAAAGACTGTTAACAACATTTCTTACCCTGAGGCCTGGAAATTATTGTCCCATACACCATCTCGAATATATGCTGCTGCATTATGCTCCAATGCTATGGTGGGAGTGCAGACAGACCTTTCTGTGCATTCATCAGTCTTTTTCACTTCATGTGAGGGGTCTTTTGCCCTCAATGGATAACTGAGTTGATAAGTCAATGTCTACTCCTATCTCTGTCTCCACCATTCCTTCCAGTAACTGCCTGGGTCTATCTTCTTCAGCCCCAATATACAGAATGCTTATTCATTCACACCCTCAGTCGCTGGAATCTAAGTCTAATGGCAGAGATCTGCCTACTCGACAAAGGGAAGGATCCATGGAGGTCGATAGACCTCCTTCTAGTAAAGATAAACGTCGTGGTCGTAAACTGAAGGGTTCTCCTCCTAGTTCTCCTCCCTCTACGTAAACATGGCTACTTTTGTACAGTGGAACTGTCGAGATTTTCATTAAACTCTGGGTGATATTAAGGCCTTGATCGATTCCAATCACCCCTGTGATGTCTTTCCTTACAGAAAAATTCCTTAAACCGGCTGATACAGTAATCTTTTGGCAATTTGTTTTATACCAGAATGACAGGTTGTGTGATGGACGAGTGCCCACTTATCTGTGTCACTCAATACACTCTTGGAGGCTGTAGCCATCGGTGTTTCCTTGGGTCATACCATCACTGTTTGTTCTCTCTACCTGTGTCCTGGAAAGACTAATGATCAATCAGACCGTGATGCTCTCATTGAACAGTTGCCATCTCCCTTTTTCAACCCTGGGAGACTTTAATGGACCCAATCCCTTCTGGGGTGGTGCTGATATTGTTGTGAGGGGTCGTTGTGTGGAGCATATTCTCTCGGATCACAACCTTTCTCTCATAAATACTGGTTCTTATACTTATTTTATGCACCTAGTCAGTCTTTTACTGCCATTCATCTATCGATCTGCTCCCCTTCACTTTTCTCTCGCTTTTTTTGGAGGGTTGACAATGACCCATGGGGCAGTGATAATTTTCCTATAGTTTTGAGGGAGATTGGTCGTGGTCGATGCCACCCGACTAGAGTACCATGGTGGAAGTTGGACCAGGCTGACTGGCCGTCTTTCACGAATATCTTGGAACTTGATCCTGCTGTCGTCTGTCCGTCATCAATAGATGACTGCACAGTAGCAGTGACTGACTGTATTATCCAGGCATTTGCTCACTCTATTCCTAAGACCTCTATACATTTTCCATGGTGGAATCCTGCCTACTAGGAGGCATGGAAGGCTCAAAAACGAGCCTGGGATATCTTCTGACATTATCCATCTCTTTCTAACTGCATAGTTTATCAGTGGGACCATGCCACGCTCGACAGGTTCGACGTCAAAGCCAAAAGCAATCTTGGATTAAGTTCACTACTAGCCATGACAACACTCCACCATGGACCACCTGCTTTTACTTGAAACGTCGATCAGGGAAGCCTTCCTCAATAGGGAACATCTTGTTTCCATATTATTTGATCTTGAGGAGGCTTACAACACTATGTGGAGGTACGGAATTTTGTGGTACCTCCATTCATATGGGTTGCATGGCCATTTACCCATTTTTATTCAGAACGTTTTACTGGACAGGTAATTCCAAGTCTGTGTGCATTCAACTCTTTCCAGTTCTCTTCCACAGGAACTTGAAGTCTCTCAGGGCTGTGTCTTGAGTGTCGCACTTTTTTGGTATCAAAGTTAATGCTATCACTACACAAATACCCTCTGCTGTTCCAAACAGGCTCTATGTCAACGACTTCCATGCCTCGTGTCGGTCGTCGAATATGAGGTTTATCGAGTAGCAGCTTCATACTGCTATCAATCGCTTGTTGAAGTGTACCACAGCAAACAGTTTTTACATTTCCTTTTTCTAAAACTGTTTACATGCATTTTTGCCACAAATGGGGTCTATACCCGATCTCGAGCTCCGTCTCGTTGATGTTGTTCTTCCTGTGGCTCAATAGTTGCTCACAGGATCCCCTCTACAGTTTCGGTGTTCACTGACGAGTTATATGCTATTTCTCTAGTCCTGGATCATGTAGAAGTTATGCAGTACAGCGATTGTACTATTTACATTGATTCTCTTAGCTCTCTACTGGCCCTGGAATCGCTTAACGTTGGTTCTCACTCTGTTCTCGTCGATATTCAGTAACGACTGGTCCATTTTCTCTAGCTTCCGTTCCATTCAGTTTTTCTGGATACCTGGTCACGTAGGTATTCGAGGGAACGAGCTCGCTGATACTGCAGCTAAGTCTGTCTGCTCTGGCGCCGTCACGGCTGTGCTTGTCCAATACATGGTGGAGTACGGTTCTCTATTCAAGGCTTCTCGTCAGTTGGCAGTCGACTTGGGGTGAGCAACATGAAAAAAGCTTTTCAAGGTCAAACCTTCTGTTGCTCTTTGGCCGTTTTGTTTCCGCAAGGATCGGAAGGAGGAAGTTGTCCTGGCAAGGCTACGCATTGGTCATAGTTTTTTAACTCATCGTTTTCTTTTATCTGATACTGACGCACCAATGTGTAGCCTTTGTGACACTCAAGTCACAATAGCCCACATTTTACTGTCGTGCCGTCGTCACGACCGTGAGTGGCGACACCATTTTAGACATCTCTTTTCTACGTGTTTAACCCTGACGTTTCTGATTTTATCTAAATTTTAAACATATTTTAGTTTTAACTCAATTTCTTTTTACATTTTACAACAATTTTACTTTTACTGTTTTTCCCAGTTGTTTGCGCCATAAAACGCCAAACAACCAACCAACCATGACGAGCGTGGTCGCCCGAATTGATCACTTTTTGATTAAGTTCAAAGTCTAAAGATCCTGCGGTGATGATAGAGAAATCGTTAAATGAAATATTTTGACCTGTATCCCATAAAACGTCAAACAACCAACCAACCAACTTTTCGTATAAATAAATAAAACTTTCTAACATTACCTCAAGTTCGAAAGCTGGATTGTCCTGCTCCATTATGACGAAATATTTTACAAATAATCCCAAAAGTAACAATACGCCTGTTGACTGAAGGGCTTATACTGAGAACTAGATGTTCATATTATATGTACTGCGTTCTTGGGTCGTAACGAAGAAGGAGGAGCTAGAAAAACGTAATATCACCGGAAGTGACGAAATCATCTCTCTCAAAATGGAACGTTCGTTATTATTAGTTTTTATTAAACACTCATTTGTTAGACCTGTAATTATATGTAAAACTGTCCATGATAACTTAAGCATATTTGAGGCAAAATTACAAACTCGCTACTAAAAAAAATATCAAATTAAGCAAGATAAAAATAGAATTCAGCATTGAATCCAGAATTTATTCCGATTTATAGTGTTAGCACTAAATTAATTGTTAAGTCAAAGACTGCACAGTTATGATTTCTTTAACTTAGAAATATGTTTTTGTTTTGGTGAAGTTTAAAGATTTAATTTTAAATCTACATTTTGTCTGCACTATTTAAAATATTGTTTTTACACGCGTCTAATTCTAAACACGTAATGAGCTGATTAAGATGAATGTGAAAGAGAAATGTACAGTCTAATGTGATTTTGTCATTATTATTATCATTACTTTCGTTCCTTATGTGGTTTTAAATGTTTAAAACTGTTAATTTTAATTATTTAGTGTTGCATATAAAGTAGAATTTTGAATATATTTCTCTGTTTAACTGTAGCTAATCGAGATGATGAGTCACACTTTAGGTAGTGTAGTTAGGCTGGAACATTATTACAAAACTATACATGCCTAGTTACAGCAGTTTAGAAAATAAGGGTGAACATGTGATTTGACATATTGACACCTAACCTTATTTGATGAGCTTTTGACATCAGAAGTATTCCTTAAGCAAGATATATAATACGAACCAATTTTGGTGGGTGTAATCTTAATCAGTCTCGAGTTATCGTGCAGACAAACAACAAACAGGTTAACAACCAGACGGCGCTGACCGTAATACCTACATCCCGACTCCTACTTCAGTATTAAGTACAAACAATAGAAGAATGTCGGTGTTATATTACTCGGTTAAAATTTTTACAAAATTACCAAGTAAATTTAACTGTTTTAAAATTCTCGTTATTAAAAATACTAAAGGTAAGAATCTTACATATTGCACCACGTTTTAAAATTTAATCTTATTCTTCGACTGCAAATTAAGTGATGTATCATTTATTCATCAGGTACATTTTTCTCTTGTAAAACAAAAAGAACTTCCATCTACCTGTGCGTTTTTCTGGACTGTAGATATCACTATAAAAAAAATCATGCATCTTGATATTGTTTATCCAAGTTTTTTCTATTAATTTAGTTTAGATAATGTCAATTTATTTATTGTTTTGGTGATTTTGACATATTTTTAGGAGTACTATAATACACTACAATGTAATTTATTTATACTTGACAAGTGACTAAAAGTACCAAACTTGTAGTCACTTGTCAATGATGAATATTGTAATTTTACTAAGTATCAATTATAAAAGTTTGATTTTAACTATATAAGATGAAATGACCAGCGTTTTTGTGGTAAAAAAAATGAAACAGTATTTAATGGTGTAAACATTTAGTTTTCATTACAATTAAGCATAGAACAGCGAAGTACTTTCACCAAATGTTATACAAGTGACATTTGAGGAATATTCATCTTTCGTAACGAATTTGATCGTAAACAAATGTAAACTTTGGAAAAATATTGTTCAAAGAAACACTCTTATACGTAAACACCTACGGAGCAGTACAACACCAAGGATGATACCATATGTTGGTACTACTACCTAGTGGTTAGGTAATGCCGAGTACAAAGTTAAAGTAGTTTATGTGTACTAGTTACCAAAACGTGCTCCACACTCATTGTGAGGGCTTGGGCAAGATATAAGAGCGATTGTCATATTCCACCATTTGATTAGTGGAAAGTAGCCCAAGAGTTGGTAGTGAGTACTGTTGACTAGTTGCCTTCTACGTGTCTGTTAGTCAATCATTAGGGATAGCTAGCGCAGATAGTCATTATGTAGCTTTTACACGGTATGTGTAAAATAAAACTAATACTATTGCAGCGACATCTAGTGAATAATTATCGAGTCTTTTCTTAAGTGTTGACTATTTACTGTTGTATATGTTCATGATAGAACCTTTGGCGTGCGCATTAATGATTGTACTTTGTGAAATCCCCTTTTTTGAATCATTAACAACATGATACTTATGTTCATATACAAGAAACATAATTCCAGAAATAATAAGTTTTAAAACTTTTTATAATTTGTATTAATAGGGTCAACGATCGTTGAGGCCTTAATATGTCTCAAATACGAAATGTTGTATCAACGACATAATCCTTTATGTTTGCCAAAGTTAAATTTATTGAATGAATTACATTTAAAATTGTATTTTTCTTCACTTTTATAGTTCTTATTTTAGATTATTGCTGACCAGAAGCACTAAACGAAAACACTCTAAATGTTTAATACCAAATCTTATTGAATGAATCACATTTAAAAGTGTTTATCTTAGTATTTTTCTTCAGCTTTATATTTCTTATTTTAGAATCATGTCTATCTTCTTCTGTATTGCTTTTGTTATAATATGAATTCATAAGTACTATGAAATATATTACCTACTAAAGGATGAATAAATAGTTTATAAAAATGTCCTGCGATTCATAATATAACATTGTTATTTGTTTTGTTTCTTGCAATTAAATGACCAGTTTAACACCAATAAAATCATATTCAATGTGCACTCTAAATTACCTTAAAAATAACTACAACTGGTTTCATATGTTTTTCTGTCTACCAGAAACTAATGTGAGCTAATGTGTTGCACTGACATTCTCATATTGCGGCGACATTTAGTGACAAAGTTTACAACATTTTCTTATCAGCTTTGAGCTATTTATTACCTGGAACTTGCAGATATATATATATATCACTTAACAGTGGAATGAGTTCCAAACTTACTCAAATGTTCAAAATACACTGCATTTGAAAATGATAATATAAAGCAAAACTCTGTAGGTATCATTATGGGATTTATAGTTCTGATTTTAAGGTATTAAACTAAAAAAGTGGTCAACCAAAATTTTCTATAGATTTGATATCAGTTCTTCATGCGTTAGCAAGTTGTAAGAGTTTGAATCCCAGTTGTATTACCGGATTATTCTAGCAACAGCCACAATGCCAAGGATTCGTTATAGGTATAAAGTTTGTCTTTGAAGTGGGAAGTCATTCATCAATTTTGTTACACGTCGTGCGAGACTCGTAATAGCTAGGCAAACCTTCAAAAGGTTTTAGAGGCTCTGGGTGTATATCAAATAACATGAAATACATTGAATCGTAACTATGTTGTCGTTTTTGGTATAGTTTTTAATACGTGGCAGAATTCTAACTATGTTGTCGCTTTCGGTATAGTTTTTAATACGTGGCAGAATTCTAACTATGTTGTCGCTTTCGGTATAGTTTTTAATACGTGGCAGAATTCTAACTATGTTGTCGCTTTCGGTATAGTTTTTAATACGTGGAAGAATTCTAACTATGTTGTTACTTTCGGTATAGTTTTTAATACGTGGCAGAATTCTAACTATGTTGTCGCTTTCGGTATAGTTTTTAATACGTGGCAGAATTCTAACTATGTTGTCGCTTTCGGTATAGTTTTTAAAACGTGGCAGAATTCTAACTATGTTGTCGCTTTCGGTATAGTTTCTAATACGTGGCAGAATTTTAAACTATGTTGTCGTTTTCGGTATAGTTTTTAATACGTGGCATAATTCTAACTATGTTGTCGCTTTTGGTATAGTTTTTAATACGTGGCACAACTGTGTAAATATTATACACGGTGACATATTCGAAAAGGCAAATCAGAACGTTTGAAGATTTGGTTATTTTTTGCTTGCTCTTTTGCAATTAAACAGTCAAATAAAAACTTGATGTTATATATATATATAAAGTGCATAAAACTAATTATAATGACACTTACACTACTAGCGTGGTATTAATGTAAGTATAATGGGAGTCGTCTTCTTTCGGTAGAAGATCTTTACCAGGTTAGTAATTATAGCGTTTCGTTTCGCAGTTCTATCTATTAATTAATAACACATTTAGGATATGGAAAATGTTCAGAGAAGCTTGAAACTTTATTAAATAAATCATTAAGTACAATACTTGACTATTCTAAACTTTAATATTTTCAGTCGCAGTCCAACAACGATTTTTCATACAAATTATAACAACTGAAGGTTTCAACACATTTTGTCGAGTATTGTTTGTCTAAAGTACTTGTGCACCTAAACTGGACAAGAGGTGACGAAAATTACAAATTCTTATTTTATATATTTTGTTTCAATTATACATGAACTTAACGGAAACTACCACGCTGCAGGTTGTACAATAACTTGATTTAGATCTATTTCTGTAGAAACACGATTCTAATACTTCCGTTTACGCACATTTTTCCAGTAGCATTAGTTAAGGTAAATAGGAATTTGCAAATTATGAAGATTCTAATATAAAAAAAAGGTATTAAAATAACCTGTTCTTATGGGATCAAATCAATCATACATTTATATTGACTTTTCTGTTAATCGTTGTCAATAAAAAAGACGATCTTAATTTTGAGAGTCGATGTTATGATTATTATACTTTTGAGGTTTACATCTGTTAAATAATGCTCTTACTTTACCAAGAAATATATTCTGGTCGTATGTTGGACTGATAGGAATGTACTTGAAAATTTTATATCTTTTAATTACGTTCATGCCGAACGGGAGGTCATAGGTTAAAGGTGTCGATTCATCACCTTCAGATATATTATGTTCCAGACCTTGTTCTCTCCATTTGATGAGTCCTCTTTCTTCATCCGTTCCTGAAATTGATGCATTTATATCATAATTTATTAGATTTGAAAGTAAGTTAAATGTATTATTATTTTCATTGACTTCTTTGTTATTTATTGTTATAAGACATAATGTATTCTCCTGTTTCTCATTTATAGGTTGTGAATATTATAACCCTATCAGAATGATAAAGAGATAGTTAAAAATAATCTGCAGCCAATCTTATACAACTATAATATTATAAGTGCGAGGCACTAAAAATCTTGATTTGATACCCGTTGTGAGCACAGCATAAATATCGCACTATGTAGCTTAGAGATTAACAACAGCAACAGAAACAACCGTACTACAAGCGTAATATGTTTACACATATTTTATTATAGTGAATTCGTTGCTCTTATAGGGCAGAAGTTTAGAAACGTTTCCTAGACGTTCCGTGTCTGTAGCCACCTTGGTTGTTGTTATTGTAATATTAAAAGGTATATAAAATCCCTTCTAGTTTTGAAATAGTAAGTTATTAAATATTTTTGAGAATAAAATTTTGGTGTTTTAAGCACATTTTGAGAATTAGCTTACGTATATATAAATATAAATATCAATTTGTCTATTATTATAATAAATATAACACCATTACATCATAGCGCGATTTCAACAGCCCGAAGACGGCATTCTAAACTTAGAGGTCAAAATGGAAATAGATGTAGGAATTATCAGAAAAGTCACGCTACAAATGTAAGCTGTTTTTTTTTCGGTTTTGGAAGTAATGCAGAATAAAGTTATAATATCTTAGACAGTTGCTATAGAGAATAAGAGTAACTGAATATTTTGTGGCTAAAAAACTAATAAAAACACCTAAAATAATGCTTTAACGATATCACATTGCAATTTATCAGGTTTGTTCACGAACTCTCGATGGAATGTTTCCTTACCTGGTATGGAATTGTCTAACACGAACGCAATGAGTCCACCAACAAATACACCAGTGTTCAAAAGAACTGTAATAAGTTGGTTTGCTGCGTCATTCCCTAAAATAGATAAAATATATATTTTTCTCTTTATTAATAATGGTAAGTAATATACTTAGTGAAAAATACAAAAAAATTCTAATCTTTCGATCTGTCGCCTTTAAAGTATGACAATAGGTCGTCAGATGAATCAAACGGAGCAATAAGAACAAATAGAAGCATGTGATTGGTTAAAAAGAAACAATAAAACAAAAATCTGTTAAATATCAGATACTATAAAAAATCAATAATTCAGTTTAATAATAACATTTTAAGATACATTTAGGTTTACCAGCCCGTTGTAATTTAAGTATGGTGTTGCAAATTGATAATGTGGTTTCTTTAATAACTAGGTAAGACTGAACAACCTCATATATAAGGTTGTAAGGTATAAGTGACTTTTCTGCCTTGACAGAAAGTCTGATTGTTTTTTACCAGCTACTCGTAATTCGTTTAACAAATTTCTTATACACACCCACATGAAAGCTCTTTTCAAGAAAATTGTAAAATCGTTACAATCATAAATTTATCCTATCTTGCAGTAATTATGTTAAGCCTAGAGTTTACTTCAGAACTTTCTGAGTAGGCCTAAGTTACTTCTATAGCGCATGATTAATATATGTTATTGAATATACATCTTGCACTCTGAAATGAGAAATCCGTTTTTTAATTTAAAATTCCTGATCGGTAGGAGGAGAAACAATCGGAAGCACTCACCGCCTATGCGGCTAATCTTAGCCGAATATCGAGATTTGACTGTAACTCCACTACATCTTGCTGAATTTGTCCATCTGCATATTGTAGCTAGAACCTTGGACCTTCCGATTTGTCAATCTACACACTGGCCCTAGGCCACACCTTGCCCGTTTTTACAAATGTTACTATAACTCTATTCTCCTGAAAAATTTCTAAAATTTCGAAACTAAACTTAAAGTTTCTCCTGATAATGCCTCACTTAAACTGTTAAGTATCAAATCAAAATCGGGGATTAAGAAACTAAAAGAAATAAAAAAAATAAAAAATGGATTAAGAGAAGAAGCATCATATCCGTAAAATCGTTTTTCTCAATTCTCTTTAAGTTTAATTGCTTCTAATAAAAAACTTCTTCTATTAGCTGGGCTACTACGTAAAGAAACGTACTTTCGTTCTTATTAGATCTTTCTTTTTTCTAATTGTACTGAGTTTTCAATTGTCTTTCTTTAGAATAGCGTCAGCTAGGCGTTGTTCCCTATATCATAAAATCCCTTAAGAATGTTATTTATTAAATATTTCTGTATATTTAGTAAATAGTGGTACATTGAAGCGTCTGTATTATCTAACAGATGGTTTGAGAAACTGTTTCATAAACTTCAACAAATTTCCTTCACAAAACTTCAATTACACTAGTAAGTGTACGTACCCACATCAATAGTACCTGGGTGGCCCTTAAACCACTTTGGAATGGTAATCCCCATAAATAAAGATAGTCCAAGGATAATAATATTTCTGGAAGAGTGGAGGTCGATAAATTGGGCATTGGACAGTCCAACTCCCGTTATAATGGCAAACATAACACAGAAGATTCCTCCAATAATGGGCTCTGGAATAGTGTTTAAGAAGGCTCCAAGCTTCCCCAGAACGGCAAACATGATCATGGTAACAGCACCATACTGAATAACCCGTCGACTGGCCACCTAATTGGTGTGAAAATCAAGTAAATGAGAAAGTGATATGAGTTGTTAGTTTTTCAAATATCAGCGGTTATGATATATGCACATATCATAATAACACAATAAATCTAAGCAATGAACAATAATATTCAAAATTGTGAAAAACGTGGTCTTAATCTATTATATAAGGAGAGCACTTGGGTATACTTTTGTTATTTCAATTGCTCCAATGTTTTGACTGTAGGAAGTCATTCCGCTTCCAGATCCCCAGATTCCAGAGATGATACAGGAAATTCCCTCTGCAAATATTCCACGATTTATAGCGCTAGGTGGAGGGCGAGGTACGCAAGCTAGTCGCGCACATGCGTAGTAATCTCCTATTGATTCCAATATCGATGCTAATATTCCGGCAAACATTCCCAAAACTGCACCAATACTGACTGTTGGTAAACCCCACTGTCCTGAAAAACAAAAATGAAGATATAGAACCCTTTTTTCCAAAAGTAACATTGTCAAAATACATATCGACTGCGTTAACAAAATACAATAGAACAAAAAACTGTTCCACTTTTTTCACATTTTTTACGCACGTTTAATTTGTCTCACCTTTTTGTTCCAAGATAGTGTTTAAATGGATTTTAAGTCAAACAGTGAACTCCATAACCAAATTTGTTTCACTATAACTGAACGAATAAGTAGGTTCTGTATTAGAGGAATCGATCTACATATAATTTCGTAAACTACTTGCGTAAATAAAGAAAGCTAAATCTTAATGACAATTTTTGCTAACTACTTGCCTGGATAAGGAAACCTAAACCATGGGCTCGAGTGTATCGTCTGTACACGAAGATCAGTTCTGGCTGCGTTGGTTGGTCCTAGAGCACCTGAAGCAGTTAATATGAAACAAATAACCCACGCAGTAACAATGGTTAGTAACACCTGGAAGTAGGTGGACGTTCACTCTTCAGTTAATTAGTAACAGCAATATAAAAATACAATTATAATGCTAGAAATACGTGTCACAGTACAATAAAACAAACTTAAAGCTACTGCTGTAATATTTATACATAAAATACAAATATGTGAAATCTTGCATTTGTGGTACTTGTTTTATAATACGTTTGTTGTAGTTTACACCTTGTTGTATCGCGCAACCTTACAAGAGTAACAGTAGGCTATATTTAAACCATTTTTTTTAGAAAAGCGATTTGTTACAATTTTACAACGGAACAGTTCTAAGAAGCTTTTATTTAGAGAATGTTTTTTAATATTAAAGTTAAGATTAAGGTTTTGGTGTATGTTAGTGGAACGTGTGTGAACTGTGTTCAAAATGTATACCCACTGGAAAAAGCTTGAAAAAGGGGAGTTGTTTGATCTTCCATCCTCTTTCTTTGCTGTAGCTACAACAAGAGATATTAATGCTTTCAAGGTACTTGGAGAAGAGCACAAGAAGGAATATTGTCCTGAAAAACAAACAACAACAAGATACAATAATCTTAGTACTGTTTTGTTAAAACACTGAATACTAAACTGGAATATCTACTTGACACAACGGATTTCATACGATTCTTTATCAATAATAATGAGTATAAGTGTCATATTACCCGTTAATATTTTCAATGTAAACCCTTTAACTGCATTTTGTAGTAGGTTAGCCTAATAAACTTGAAAACTACATCAGTACGCGTTTGATGATATATTGTTTTTGTTGCCTTTCGCTAGTCTACCTAAGAGGTTGTATCCTAGAGGGAAAACTGTTAAACAACACTAGCCACCGCCAATTCTTAGGCTACTCTTTTATGGACATTATGATTTACTCTCGTAAATTCAAATTTAAAGACCAAGCTCTACAATACACGATTACAAAATAATGCTCTTGTATAAACATAAACATTGTTGAAAGTGTTATAGCGTTCTCTCATCTTTGTCTATTTTGGTTTTAATACTGAAAGTTATTATTCTTAGAATGGTCCGTTTAACTGAATATTTCCAATGGAAGATACGTTTGTGATAATGGAAAAAGTATGACTATTACTAAGGTTCTCCAAGAGTTGCTAAATTGTTTGTTTTGAATTTTGCGCATAGCTACACGAGGGCTATCTGCGCTAGCCGTTCCTAATTTAGCAGTGTAAGACAAGAGGGAAGGCAGCTAGTCATCACCACCCAACGCCAACTCTTGGGCTACTCTTTTACCAACGAATAGTGGGATTGACCGTAACATTATAACGCCCCCACGGCTGAAAGGGCGAGCATGTTTGGTGTGACGGGGATTCGAACCTGCGACCCGCAGATTACGAGCCGAGTTGCTAAAGATTTATTAGTGAATTTGTGATACAAAAGGGATAAATTGAGTTGCTTAAGTTGTAGGTAATCTCCATAGTGACTAATGTTCCTTTTGTTTGTGTGTTTGACGGAGAAAGTGGAGGTATGTTTCATAACTTTGCAGGTTGAACAACGTACTTCCGTGAAGAATGGTATTCATTCTCTGGTATGGTGTAATATGTCATATAATATGTGATGTGTTCTATAATAATAATAACAGAACACCATCAAAATTCATTATAGAACGAGACTTACAAAATAGCTATTCCCCAGTTTTTACTAGCTTCAGAAGCTGCTTCTTCGAATAGAGAAAGTCCTATCAACGCTATGGTTGGGACGATAACTAAAGGAGTTAACCACTGAAGTATTATTCCAATAACACCTGTGAGTCCAATAACCGTTTCAATGATGGATGCCACAATAATAGCACCTTGGATCTAGACAAATATATCAAGAGCTAAATTTTAAACGATGCAAAGATATATTATAGATAATTTGAGATAATAAATTAATGACGTGCCTCTAAAGTTAATTTTATAAATTATTCGAGCATGTAGGGAATAGTCATTAGATGTGTTCTCTCTGAAAATAAAACCCTACTTTTGTGAGAAAATAACTGCTCTGCACGGTCTACGTGGTTTTAACAATTCATTTTCAAGTTTTCGAATGCTTGCTTGTGTTTATAACAAATTCTATTAATATAGACGATGATGTTCAAAACAATTACTAGAAATTTAAAGTATACATTTCAATCAACTAATTAGTGCATGGGTTTAAATATTTCGTAGCGCCTTAAACACAGGATTATTGTTTATTTCTTTATTCACTAGAATCATTTTACTGAAATATAAAGATGTATAAAAACTGAGCATGCGCCAAACAGAGTTAGAGCTTTAATTGTTGCATATGATACTTTTTTGTTTTAATAATAAGATTGTTTAATTGAACGCGTAGAGTAATAAACCTACGACTTTAATGAAATAATAAAGTCGTTGAAGTTATTAATTTCCAGGTGTACTGATTCAGCAGCGAATAAGAGAGAAATAATTTAAGACTTTGTGATAGCAATTGTTTTTCTGTGTTCGTTAATTAACAGAACGCTCACTTCTTGTGCTGGATACATAATATTTTAACAAACTATTTTAGTACAATTTCTCACCTCTCTCATTCGGAGTTGCCAGATTTCTTGTAGCTCTTCTTCTGTTGCCGACAGCATTTCTTCCTCACTAGAACATTTCCACTGAGGTAAATTTAAAATAGCAAATATCGAAGCCAGAAAAGTAAAAGACGGACCCTGAATTATCGGAAGCCTACATAAAAACACAAAATAAGTTTTCACGTCTAAATATCAAATCGGCTCTGTGCATAATTGTGCAAAGAGTCCAAGCGACAATAAACAATACAAAAACTATCCTGAATATATATATATATATATATAGATAGATAGATATAACTTGTAATATGTTTAGCGTTCTATATAAAAACTACATTTTTGTGCAGTAACCTTCCACAGGAACAATTTATTTATTGGCCAGACAGCTTACTTCACTCACACAGGTTGAAATCGTTACATCAAAACAATTTTGAAGCCTCATCAGTTTCATTATCATCTATTTTGCCACGTCTGATTATGCTTTCTCTGATGACCGTGCATATTGACAACAACCCTGTAGCGTAGTTTGAATAGCTAACGGCTCCTTTATAAAGATTCCGTGTACAAACCACACTATTCTTCCCTGCGTACTTACCACATTCTGTCTAAAGAATGAGGATGATAGTATCCCAACGACTCTTTCAAGAATTCGAACACAAGAAATCGATAAGCACTGTCTCAGGCTTTTTTACAAGTATCTCTTCGTAATCGATATCATGAATGCATGTTTTATACTCTAGCTGCATGTGATAATTGAACGGGTATATTATTTAAGCAGCTTGTGACTTTTGTTACTTTTCAAAGCTTTTCTACACGAAGATCCTTTGTTGATTATGCTGGGTACTGTTGCCTGGGACCCGTTGAAAGTGTTTTCACTGAACTTTGCATTTGTAGATTTTCAAGTGTTATAAGATGCCACACTTTGCTTATTATAGTTGGAGTACGATTCGTACCAGGTATCATTGTTGGTGGTCCTGTTGTTTCAAACTTACCCATATTCCTTTGTTTATCAACGTCATAAATCAAAAGGAATATTCCCATCTTATAAAGTCATGATCCGAAAACAAGTGTACAATTTAAGCGTATAAATATTTACGTCACAAATGACTGTTATAAACAACAGGCGTTATAAGGTTAAAACAATTTTAATAAAACTGGATAGTAGCATAACACTTTCAGTAGTTCTATAGAAATTATTGGATTTACTATTTGGCCGGATGACTTTGATTTATAATCTACAACATAAGTTAATAAATATAAGCATCTTCTTTAATTTAATTTAATGCCTGCGGACTTACAACGCTAGAAACCGGGTTTCGATACCCGTGGTGGGCAGAGCACAGATAGCCCTTTGTGTAGCTTTGTGCTTAACTACAAACAAAAATTTAATTTAAAGTAAAAAAAATACTTAAAAATCAATATACCTTAAGTGTAGTAAGGATTGAGTACGTTATACGAAAACAATCTTGAATATGCAAATCAGCAAGTAACGAGACAGCCACAACCGATATAAAGTCCCAGTAGAATAGTATGTTTCTCAACTACATTTTGAGGTTGCTTGTCGCGTCTTGGGTAGTGTGAAGGAACTGAAAATTAATTGCATTTGGGAATGGCATTTATCGGAAAATGTTCATACACACAGATAAAAGAAATATGCGTTCAGATAGAATTTAGGCTTCAAGATGAGTATATTTCATATACTTATTGGCATTGTTCAAAAAAAGGAAATGGATCACATTGGGGTCGAAGGATCATCGACAAAGAGTCGTTCAAAAAGTCGTATCTCATCTGTAAAGTGTAGTATCATGTAACAGGTGAGAACCCACGATCACAAAGGTCAGGAGCAAAAGCCGTCCACGTGCACCCTGCAACAACAAGCAACATAATCAAGCGGAATTCCTTCTTGATATGCTACATAAGTCATATGTAAAGCTCTTTTCACGACATATTTGTTTTGTTCGACAATCAAGTAGCTGAAATGAAGCGCCGATGAATTTCTGTTGAAACGGGTGCTGTGAACGGGTGCTAGATGGCTTATGAAAAGACAGAGGGGAGGAGGGGTGAGCTTTAGACGTCACAACCTTACGATGGCACCTTTTCCACAAAAAAAAACACGTTGCAGAGCTTTGGTCAAGTTGTACGGTCGTTTGATAAAGCACGACTGGACATGATTAAATAGACGTTGCGTCGTGGTGAGGTTCCAAAATCGCTTTAATATAACGTATATAACATATATAATTCTGTTTCGATCCCAATTATCACACCTCACCGAAATGCAAAGTAATGCTAATAAATATTCTTTTAATTATTGTGATCAATATGTAAATTTTCAAAACAGGTCTTCCATCCCAGAAAGTAAGACACTTCAGTAAATCAATAGAATGCTTATAGTATTAGTTGGATATGCTAATCATCTGAAGCGTTGTCACTAACTGATTTATGATACATCATATGGTATCTGTTGAATATGTAACTAGTTTGCAGACAGTCAGTTTTCTCTAATACTGCAATCGGGAACATTTGATGAAACATTGTGGAATCTATTGAGCTACTAACATATCCACTTAAGCCTTATTATGAACGTTTGATACACGAATTGCCAAAATAGCCATTTTCTTATTTTATTGCTTAGTTTATAATATTTTGATCTGGAAAATTATATTATTTTAGTTTCGGTTCACTCTTTTGTGATAATGGATCGGGCGTACTCTAGTGGCTAGTATGCTTGAGCTATAACTTTGCGGCTGTAAGTGTGACGGCCATATCCTACTATTCTATTATATAAGAAATGGCAGTGGTTACTATGTCTAGCTGCCGTTTTTATAATCTTTCATATCAGAAGTATATTCTGAAAAATTCCTTGTTTGCACGTTCCTTAGAGACAGAACTTTAAGCAGTAGATGTGTAAAAAATGGTTAGGCCACATATTGTCGGAATGCTGTACGTCAGTGTAAGTATGTAACATGGTCTTCATTTGTTTCTTGTGGTTAAGATCATCTACAGAATATTACAGTTTTATAATATTTGAAATGTTCCCCATTTCTAAGCCAATTAAAGTTAGATGGATGGTATAGGCTCTTACCTTGTTCCGAATGTTGACTGGATTAGGGTCCCTAAACCTGACACAAAAAATATTGTTGATGTTATGTAGCCTCGAGCCGGGTCGGATTCTTGGATGCACAGCTTAGGTGTAATCATGTAAGGATATGCCACAGTCGATCCGAACATCGTCAGATATTGCTATAATTATAAAAGAAATAAATACAGTTTTTATTCATATTTAAATCAAAGACTATCTGAAATATGCTGTAAGAAGAGGAGAAAACGTTTTTAAGAAGAAGCTTTATGACGAACAAGTACGTAGTAAAATTAAACTTGTAACGAAACGTCATAAAGATTTACGTGTAAGGTGTTTTAATTAAACTTTAATGAAGGGAACTAAACTATTTTTATTTGGGTGTTTCAACAATATCTAACACTAACCCAACTAATTTATTCTTCTATTCTATTCAGTGGACGATTTAATTGAAGAAAAAACGTATTTTTGTGAGATGTATCTGACTAATATCTGGGATTTCTACTGTTATCTGTGATTTGAAATATCACTGATTTGTATTTATAGTTAAGACAAATAAAACTCTTACACAAAACGAAATGTGATATCTCAAGTTAAAACATCAACGCTTTAGTTTCAGATACCAAAATTTCTAATTCAACAGTAAATGTTTCCCTTTGATATATTGTGTATGTTTCAAACTAAGTAATACAGGCGTTTTAAACGTATCTGTCACGTTTCAGGTACGAATAATGTTTTGTCCATCTACGTGCTTTAAATTGAGACATTAAGAATTTACAGAGGACTCTCATATTTCAAAGCGTAGATTTATTCTTAAGAATAACAGCATATAATTCAGACTTTTGTGGCTTTACACAAAGAAAAGGAAAACTAAATATTTAAAAAGTAAAATTTACATACATTATCTTTGAAACCTTTTCTTTTTTCAATAGTACAAGTAGCCTCCCAATGACACAGCGGTATGTCTGCGGACTTACAACGCTAGAAACCAGGTTCCGATACCCGTGGTGGGCAGAGCACAGATGGCCCATTGTGTAGCTTTGTGCTTAATTACAAACAAACATTAGTACAAGTTATCTGACATAAATGTAATTTTAATTAAAGTTATGTACATTATAATGGTGATTGTTACGGTGTGAACGCTTTTCACAAGCTGGATGATAATATTCACGTATACTTGTCACAAGCATATCCAGGTAGTTAGGGCGCTCGACTCGCAATCTGAGGGTCGCGGGTTCGAATCCAGTCCCACCAAACATGCTC